TATCTTCAAGTGCACTTAGTGACAAACCACCAAGAACACTAAGTGTCAATCTCAGCGACTCCTTTAACATGACACATATTCATTTATCCCTTGTTAATACAAAGATATTCATTAGAAAAGCTTTAATTATTGGGTCAAATGAGCCACTTATGATGTTTTATAGAATGTAAATTAATTGAATTTTTTAAAATACAAAAAAAAAATCATCACAGCTTCCGACTTTAACATTACAGCAGGTCATCGCTCACAGAAAGGAAACACTCTGATCTATAATTAACTCGGAGCAGGTGAAAAACAAAAAAAAAACAATAAAGATTGTCTGGAAATATTATCCTGTGTGTTCCAGGGTGTCGTCTCATTGAAGTGGCTGCACCTGTTTTAATCTGGCCACCGTCCACACATCCTCTCCGACGGTGAGTTTTACATTTCATGGCCACTTGACAGCTGGGGCTGCTGTTAAATATGTATGAGGAGAGCATGCGGATGAACCCTGAAACAAAGCAATCCGTCTAACAAGGTTGTGGCTGACTCAGACCGTTTCCTGTTTGGAACCACAGGTAGAATTCCATTTACAGCTACACCATGTGGCCTCGTGTAGCTGTAAACTGATAAATAACTGAATTCACTGATCATTAAAGGCCCAAGTACACAGTGGGTGTGACCAAAACTACCCCCCACCTGCTAAGTAAAATCATATGTTAACCTCACAGTTACACTGACGTTAAAAGCTTCTTTATTCTCATACCGGAGAATCCTTCTCATGCTGTTTCAAGACCATAAGCAGTACATCAGCAACCTCTCCTAAACTGTGGCATTTGAACATGTCCTTTCTTACACACACCCGCTTCAGAATTTTTCCCGTCGCAAAAGTAATGTACAACCTTCTGCGATGCCAGGTGCATTCATACTAGCTGAGAAATGGCTTTGCATAGTGTATTTGCATGGCAGATGGCAGGGATGACTGCAGCTCTGCAAATATAACCAGAAGAACTCCTCTCCCATCATTTCAGCTACTAACACAGTCATGAACACAGGACAATACCATTGTCCCGACAAACAAAACACCTCCGTGGCAAACTCGTAGAAGTGAGCTTTCATGAATCTAGTATGATGATAAGGTTAATGCTATGTTGTTCCAAGCTGATTATAAGAAGAAAATTGTCTGAGACGTGTATTTGGCAATAATGTGTTCCAACAACAGACGCCTCATATTGTAATTTTTCCGATGCCATTTGTTTGCATATAGGGAAAGTTTGTGTAAGAACAACTTCTATTCAATGCATGTGGGTCCATACAGTCATTACACAAGTTTACGACACACAACGGACATAATCTCCAGGATACTGCTATGGTGGGCCACAGAAATGTTGCTTGTGCAAGAGTAGCAGACTGTCTCACCGGCTAAACTGCTCTGCCGAGACACTCGGCTAGTCCCAGTTCTGTAAAGCAAGAGGATTTACCCTGTGATGTGCTTAAGGTCTTGCTCTTATTCCAAAGACTGGGTGAACATTTAGAAGTGTTTATGGAAATAGGGGGGGGGCCTAAATTAGAAGAAAAGCTTAAGTCCCCCAGGGCAGATATTCATCTGTTTACATATCTCCCACAATGGGATCCAACATGTTTAAATTGGAGCCAGATCTGGCAACAGGAAACATGGTCCTGAGCCAAATTTCCATGAGTGTAAGAGCCCTCCTCCCTGCAATGTCCAAAGGTTTGTGAGCCCGGCAGAGGTCCAAAATCAAAACCATTGTTTAGAATAGTTAAAATACAGTCTAATCTCTTTAATCCCTTCAAAGGTGGGTTTACGTTATTTCTAAGCTACAGACATTCTAGACGAGGCTATAAACTAGAACTTAGATTACATTATAGAAATAGTGAAACCACTTCAGCCAATAACGTAAATGGCATGCCTTACAGTAAGATAAGACTGCTATAAACTGACTATTGAGTAACACAGATCCTCCCTGTATTAACTGTATTTTCAACAGGGATTGCACATAGTGTAAACCTGAAGAGGGTCCACACAGAACTACTTTATATAAATAATGGGAGGGGGGGGGGGGGTCTCGATTACTATTTCAGAGCGTCTGGAAGACCGCTGCTGTGGCACATAAATGCCCAAATACTGAATGACATGAGATGGCATGGATGTTCGGGGCAATATAACAAACTTACAATTAGTCCAACTTACATGAACACAAAATGTGGTATATGTGAGGTCTGCTGTTACACCAAAATGACAGGTCCAGCAAGATTCATAAGGAAGATTACTTTTTTAATTCAGTGTGTTAAGCAAGTCAATTGAATTAGATATAGAAAACCCTTGCAAAAATTCAGCAATCATTTTAAACACGTTGCACATAAGTAGGTTTTCATAGCTGATCCTTCAGTGTCACAGTATCTTACGGGTCACAGATTTCAGTGTAACACCACAGCCTCTATCAGGTCACGTGGGCCGTGAAACTTTCGCATCCCACGAGTAAATAATGTTGCCTATAGAGATCAACTGAAGCGTGTGGCTTTTCATTCAATCATATCAGGTGGACGAACACTATTGAGCACAAAGTTACTGACAGCCGACTAAGAAACAAAGCTGAGTAACTCGACAGTGTGACATAACATAGACAAATACAATTAAAGTAACAATGTCACGAAGCGAGTCAAGAGGCCTAACAGCATTAAGTATAATCCTCTGGCAGCGCTTCGGCCCGGGGTAGTTTTAATGTTACTCTTACCAGTGCACTTACATTGTCAAAGAGTGACCCGACATTTGCGGTGACAAGCAGCACATCGGTGTGCGTTTCCATGTTTACGAGTCCCCTTCACCGACGGTCCGAGGGAACTCCGTAGCGTCTCCAAATGACGCGCCTGCAGGTCGATATAACTGACGCTCTCCGGGAGCTTACAGAGGCTTATTGTGCGAGCCCCAAAATCGCTACTCGTACAACCGCTCTAAATACACCGGCACATCATTGACGATGCTGTGTCGCTGCTGCTCCAACTTGTTTTGGTTATGGCGGGCAGTCGTATCAGGCCATCATCATATGCCGTAGCGGCGCGCATATCCATCGTCCAGCCGAGCAGCAGGGAGTTAGTTTAACAGCCTATACATGCGAGGGCTTCCGCCTCCTCTCGGCTAATTGGACTAGTAGCTTCTTAGCGGACTTAAACCAGCATGGACGGGGCATATGCTGCTGCTGCCTTGACGAACGCTCACATAACCGAGCAAAGCAGTTACAGTCTTCGCTTGGTTCTCCGGTGCTCCGCCTCCGCCCATTTACTGACTGCGAGTCGTCCGTACGGTCTTCTTTAAGCCAAGTTTGTTACAACTGAGCCAAACGTCGTGGACATCACTCCAAAGTGTAACCTCCTCTGAAGATAATCCCATAATATTTGATTACATACAAACCTGTGCGTCTGGCCTGTATTGCAAATTAACTGTACTCATTTTTAACGTTTTTATTACCGTAACCTAAACCCCTATTGGATACTGTTATAGTGCAATAATAATATGTAAGATTATATAAAATACCACAATGAATAGTTTAACTACCAGAGGAAGTTCAAATAACCTGAAATGACTCAACTCACCACTCTCATTCTGCGTGGTCTCAACAGGAAGTCGTTTATTTTCTGTTCTGGAAAACCTCAAAACTACAACCAGAGAGCTCTCATCTTTATTTGTGCCTTTGCAGGTGTGTGCTCATCAGTAATTACTGCTTTTACCTTTACATACATTGCCAAGCCAATGCACTGCTCTTGTGTACAGCTATATCAGTGGGACTAGCTTTGTTTTTATGTGCATAACCTTTAGGTTAGTCGTGTTCTCTAGAACAGCCTGCCTCCTACAACTTCCAGTCATCACAACAGCAAAGTAACCACAATATTGTACAACACAGCTACGGTAGCCGTCTCTACCCAGTGGAGCACAGAGCCTTACGAGTCTTATTTGGAGTCAATGGATCTGTGCCATTCCAGCCCGGGGTAAAGCAAAGCTTGCTGAGGGCCAAACACTGGCTCTCCATAGTGCTGCTAGTGAGCTGTTCAACCATGGCACGGTTGAACAGCCAACCTTTTGAGCTCTTCTCCCCGCTTCCTCTTACTCCTCCCTTGAGCACTGTGTGCTTTATTCTCCGACGTCAACAGATCCATTTGAAACTATTGCAACAGAGTTGCAAAAGAATGCTGCCATGTCCATCACCGGTTTGGAAACAAAGAGAGTTGAAAGTGGAAACCTCTCTGAAAAGGACCGAGGCAGTTTATTGTCGCTAGGAGGAGAGGCCGGGGGTTTGGGATAAAGCCGCTGCAAAAGAATCAGCAGCATAGATCCACAGAAAGAGATATTTAGACTGGATCCTGAGTACATTGTACACTAGGGAATGAATACAAAATATACAAGGTTTCAAATAAAGCCAGATGGTGTTATAGCAGCTTGGTGCCCACTGGACAATAAATCACACAGGAAACATCACCAGAGTCCTGGCTTGCCAAAAATAGCAAAGAGATGCAGCAGCTAATTAAGGCAGTTCTGTTTGGAGCAAAAAAAATAAATTCTAAAAATATCAAATGAGAAATACTTTCATTTTGGAAAATGTTTCCCAGGGAAAGAAACAGATCTTTAACTATTAAATGAGATACTTAGGATAAAAAATGGAATCTGTTGAACACTACGTAACACATATTTGGTGCAATTTGCAGGAGATTGTGACGAATAATTAGCAATGGTACAAGTTGAATTCAATGCTTTATCAATTAAATGTTTTATTCCACACAATTTCTATCCCTTCAAATACTCTAAAGTTACTCAAGTGTATCTAAAATATTCTTCTGGTTTCATATGCTGCTGTATGTTTGTGTCTGTATCATTGGAAAACAATCATGATCAAGTGAGAGAAGCACTTAAAAAAAAAAAACCTTAAGTCAAAGATCGAGTCACATTCTTGAACATTTATTTTGATGAACAGATTTGACACAATCCAAATGACTCTTCCTGATAACGGTACACTAGAGGGACGAGGGAGAAACCTCATCTCCAGCCGGATGGGGAGTCCAGACTACTGTACAGAAGCACTCTCCTTGAAAAGGCTGCCGGATGGGAGTAAGATCACTGATGTAAGGGGGGGGGGGGGATAAAGACAATAGCTTTTAGAGTTGGCTTAAAAATAAATTAGGCAAGATGGTCACTTCATTAGCAGGAAGCCAATGTAGAACACGATGGCTGTTATGAAGTGTATTAGTACGAGTGTGTATCAGCTAATTAAAGGTAATGCTAAAAGCATCCCGAGTACATTCGTACTGAATGCACTTTAAACCGTTTTTGCTTCAGTTATGCTTCATGATTAGCTTTAACATGGAGGAATATCTGCCTCAATACACAAACCTCCATCCGAGTAACTGTGGGTGCACCGTTTCCATTTCATAATGTGAGGGGTTCACACATTCCTTGGAAGAAACACAGAAACATAAAACGTATGAAGAGCCCATCTGAAACTCCTACAGTGACCACATATTTAGATACAAGTCTTAATGTAAAACACAAAGCTTAAAATACAAGTTTTTTTCTCTTGGAAAAAGCCCATAAAAATATCTGTAATGTAACAAAATCTGGCATTGTGCCCCAAATCATGGGCACAACCCAGTCATGCAAAACCCCAACTCAGTCACAGGTTTTAGCTTTAGAACAAACTAGTTCTGATCTACAATAACTCTCTTCTAAGTCCCAAGTATAATCAGCTCTAACATTGTGTGACACAAACATGACAGTTAAATGAAAATGAAAAAGCTGAAAATACCAAACAAAGACAGTAACTCAATGATAGATAACAATACAAGTTTTCCCACAAAAGACTGCTTACAAGGAAGACAACGCTCCTTCTCTGTGCGCACCTTACTTTCATTCTAACGCAAGCATGGGCTTCAGTGGAGCTATTCCCACAAAGGGAAGCGGACTCAGAATGACCCGTAACAACGACGCAAACTGAACAAGCCTGGCTGAGGCAGTGACCGAGGAAGCCGAAAGGAGTACTGTTGACATCAGAGAGGGAGATTTTCCAGTCCAAGAGCTCCTATAGAGAGGGAGCACTGCTGACTGCCCATTTAGTCAGAGGTGCCCAAGTGGGTCTCTGGTCCAGTCCACCTCCACACAGGTCCTTCAGGAGCGACTGCGGTCCTCTTGGGTGCCCACCAGCATTTTACTGTACAGCTTCTGCTGCTCTTCTTTGAAGGTATCTTTTACCTTTCCTCGCTTCAATCCTCCATCCCTACAAAAGAGTTTGAAATAGGTGACGACAATTATGTTTTGGTTAATGGGGTCGACACAATTATGCAATGCACCCATATTCTACTGCTTATCAGGTTCTGCTGAAGCAATGAAAGGCTCATCAAATACGCTCCATCACAAACGTGCTGTTTTTGACACAGCAACAGACTTGATATGCAGTGCATACTCTGAGCTGACCAGAGAAATAGACACCCCTATCCATTGCAATTTGACATTATTTTACTAACTTTGTAGTGTTTACTACTTTATGTTTACTTTGTCAAAGGAACGGAATGACAAGTTGCATAACTTCGCTCACGTCTAGTTGAAACTCTAGCAGGAAACCCACAGGTGGAAACACTGTCATTAATGATGGGCGATCTATTAAGAGGCTCAATAAGCCAGTGCAGTGAATAAACACACACGATGCTAGGGCCACTTGACTGGATCACCTAAATGGATTCAGTGGTAAATAATATTATTGATTACACCCGTGCAACTGTCTGTTAATTACTAATTGCTGGCATGGATTAATAATAGTAACCCGCGTGTTGAAGCGTGTTCATTATCCCTCGTCAGTCTTGGGTTTGTATGTGAACGTGACAGAAAACATTGAGCTGAATGTGTCTTTCTCTCACCACAGGAGGTCGACCAGTCCGCCTTGCCTGGCTATGGCTGCCTTTACACGATTAGCAAACTGTACAGCATCCTCACCCTCCTGTTGGAGAAGATCGATATGAATACAACAAAGGCAAACAAGTTGTCATAACAAAGCAATTAGCTCCGTTAATATGTTGATTGATCATCCATGGAGCCTCACCTCTCTAGACATGGGGGGAAGGTACCACACACTGCAGACGATGGCCCAGCTGCTCATCATACGCAACAGGTAGTTCACCATCCCAAACTTGCTGCTATTCCAGAAGGCGTCTCCAAATCGAGGGTCGTACTGCGAGGATCAAACACAGTAGAATGAAGGTTCAATACAAGTAGTATTTTGAACAAACTGCTAAAAAGAATGCTGATGGTTACAATTAGATGTAGCAGGTAAAAATAACATTAAAAAAGACTCACCTTAATGGCCACAGGGTAGACTGTGGCACCGATCTCAAAGCTGCCCTTCTTAAACATCATAACTGATGTGTTGTTAATGCAGGTACCTGGGAATTTAGAATATTCATAGAGAAATAAATGAGACTTCTGGGCCTTTCAAGGAAAAGTAGATGGCTGTAGTGTGATTTAGAAGTACCTGTAACAGATAATCGAACAAACTCACCTTCTGGGAAAATGAGAATGGGCAGTTTAGATTTATCTTCTACATGGTCACTCAATCTGCAATACAAAGTGTAAGTAGGTTATAATTAAAAATCTTTCTTTACTAAAGAAATATAAACTATAAAAACTAGATTTCAGTTACACAAGTTGCATTAAAAAAAAAAAAAAAAAAAGATTCACACTAAAATGCAAAATGACAACTCTTACTCAATGCAGAAAAACAGAATAACAACAAAACATGTAATACAAACAAAGCTTGTAATGCTACCTTTTGGCCACTAGATGTCTGTCTTTGACTTCTGAGCGTTCAAACCAAATGTGTGGGCAGGCCTTCACCATGGATCTCTGAATGATCCCCATCAAGCCACCGTGAATTTGGCCAACCTGACGACACAGCACAAACACAAGCACGGTTTCAACAGACATTCAGCTGCCACTGAACAAGTGGCCAGTGTCGATGTGTCTGTAGGGGTCCTGCTAAGCGGCAGCACAGTTACCATAGCATAGCAGCCATCGCTGGCCAGGATGATGACATCAATAGGCGAGGTGTGGTTGGCGACACACATGCCTCCGTTCTTGGGTTTGTTCTCGCTGTAACAGTTGAGACGGAAACACTGTTAGGCTATGTATCATGACTGTTAGCAAGGGTCAAAATACACTTCTAGTGCACAATATGACTATGAACAAATCGTTTTATATTCCCCATTAAAATATGAGTACACACACCATTGTGGATATAAAAGGTTTGACCCCCGAACCTACCGAGTCCATATTCCAAAGATAGAGTTACAATCATAAAAAAAGAAAGAGAGAGCAACACTTTCTCTGTCACTGGTGTATTTTTAGCCCCAGAGAAGAGAGGAATACGGGTTACAACACACCAGGCATTGAAGGCAGACATTCAGAAGGCCACAAAAAATGATGCAGATCCTTATCTCACCTATGAGTGCTATTGATATAGATATAGATAGATATAGAGATAGATAGATATATAGATAGATATATAGATATATATAGATATAGAGATTTAGATATAACTAGTAGTGACTTCTTTTTAATGCTGTGTCTTGTTTGTAGTGTACGTTGATTAAATAACCAAACATCGAGTAATCTCACTAACAAAGTCCCTTGATCTGAATCTCGGATGTAATTTCAACAGTTTAATTTTCAGTCAACACCAGCTGTTATAGACTACAGTCGATGGGCAAATAGATAAAGCAACAACTTCCTCCTCCACATCCTGTTGCATGTGCCCCTCCTCTCTATGCAAGCTCCATCTACTGTTCCTCTTACATTCTAAAATGTTAAAATAAAATGTCACAGCCAACAGCAACATTCAAGAAAGTGAAACGTGTGCTTGCAAAATAGCTGAAGTGAATTCAGCGGCTCCAAGCATCGTGTTTTAAAGTTAACAAGATGGCTGTAGCGGCATGTCCTAATCAGTACTGCTGAAAATAAATGGATAAATACACACTTTTAAAAAGGTTGACAGAGGTCTTAGCACAATTTACGCTTCCATCAAATGACTTGTATAGGCGTCTTCAAACCAAGACACTGCATCACAAGTCATAAAGAAAGAGAGTTGGTCACAAAGAAACCAAATTAAATAGAAACCTACTTCATTAGTATAGCAGAAAAACACTTTACAACTAAAAAACATGGCTCTCATATATACAAAAAGCTTATAACTGACAAAACATACCTGGAACATCAAGGACAAGTGGGAATTGGAATTACACATTATAGTTGAAGATAATATATGGTACGACCCGTGCACACCTTTATATGAAGGTGGACTTGTGTTACATTGCACATAGGTGTTTACCCAAGTTAGACGGGTTGTTGTAACAAAACCGTGATATAATAATGTACCACTGGAAACGCCACCGCTATGTTCATCCCTAACTGACCCCGCCCCTTTTTTGTAGAGAAAATAAGTGTGCCGTGTGTATGAGGAAGCGTTACTGACGAGGGTTCTGTGCTTCACCTATAGGCTCATATGCCTCCTGCACCGAGTATGAATGTGTAGACGGTCTGTGTCTAACCTCAGGCTGCCTCCCTCTCACACCGACACTCTGGGTGCTCACTAGAACAGCGCTAACACGCCCTGGTTTCTGTTCTCCAGAGACAACTCATCCCTCATGATGTAACATCACAGACCCAATTCCTGTCACAGTGCTGTGGATCACATTTGAGAAAGAAGAAGAATTGGACGATGTGAACAAGATGAGCATTTGAGTGGCTTTGGGATTTTATATTATATCCCCCTGGATTGAAATGTATGACAACTTTCAATCAAACATTAAGTAGTTCAGAGGTTAACTTCAGCTCAAATGTCAAGGCATTTGGAAAGCTATGAGGTGCAACATACTTTCTCTTAAAAATGTCTCCTTGCGTAAAAAAAATTCTGGAAAAAAAATTTGGTTTTGCCAAAAGCATAAATCAAATTTTAAGATCCTATTTTACCATTGACACTACTTGTCATTTTATGCATGTTATCTTTTTGGTTTGCCAAATGTATTTACTTCCACTACAGTGAACATGTGACATTCAGTGCAGAGCTCTGTCCCAATAAAAAAAAAAAACAGGATTTCGTTTTGTGTGTCAATAATCAACAGCGACACTGTAACCGACTTTTAAGGCTTTTTGCAGAGCATTAACTAAGCTACTTCAGAAAAAAGAAGAGAAATTGACCAAAAGGTTGAGAAACTGCAGGGAAAACTGAAGCATCAGTGTTAAAACACAACAAAAAACAGGGAAGCAATCAACCAGTCTAGCTTCTATGACTCATCTTATTGCTTCCATTATGTATGTTGACCTGATTAGATTACCCGACTCATGTGTTTGATTACAGTATTTCAGAGACCATCAAAGCAACTCCCACATGTGCGTCATCATCCCTTTTACACATCCTGTCCTTTTCTGATAAGGACGGTAGACTTTCTGCTCCACTACTGCAGTGTTCAACTAATACAGGTCGATGGGGAGTCAAACAAAAGGATTTGGAATGGTTTCAAGCCCAACTAAAATTCCTAGTCACATAACTTGTTGAGGTGTGGAACCAGGGTGTAGGTGTCTTACCTGTCATGGTAGGTTATAATGGCAGTGAGAGCTCTGACACAGATTCTGTAGCACATCAAATGGACTTTCTGACTGAGAAAGTTTTTTAACCTGCAGGAAGGAGCATACGAAAGAAAGCATGATGTACTTTGTGCGTCAAGACGCCAAATCTAAATCATTTGGATGAATTAAAAGCAGACTTACCTTCCATTCGGCAGCAGCCCAATAACACAGGTGAGGAACACAAGGAGGCCGACACCAGTGAAGGCAAGAGTTACCCTGAAACACAAACGGGCCGGTTACACCTAACTCTACACCAGGGAATCTGTTAACAAGCAGCAACATTTCTGTAAAAACACTGAGCAGAGGGATTCCACTTTTTGGCTTAACAAATTTAAAACTAATTGGTATTTTACTGGCATTTAAAAAGCAAGAACGCGATCCCTTTCCTTCAATTAAAACGTTCACACTCTCCTCTTAC